ATGGGCACAGGGCACAGAATGCAAGCCACAAAGAGCGCAGTGCAGCATAAAACGGGGGTGAGAAGAAGTAAGGGTTCCCAGGCCAGTGAGAGGCCCTGAGATGTTATCCTTGAAGCAAATGCTTGATGCAGAAGAGTGACATCACATTAGCCTTGTAGCTGTTCATGAAAGGTAGCCAAGCCAGAAACCTCACATTGAGCACTTTCATGGTCTACAGAATGCAAGCCACAAAGAGCGCAGTGCAGCATAAAACGGGGGTGAGAAGAAGTAAGGGTTCCCAGGCCAGTGAGAGGCCCTGAGATGTTATCCTTGAAGCAAATGCTTGATGCAGAAGAGTGACATCACATTAGCCTTGTAGCTGTTCATGAAAGGTAGCCAAGCCAGAAACCTCACATTGAGCACTTTCATGGTCTAAGACTGAAGCCAAATGTTTGACCCTATAGAAATGACAAGTTCAACTAATAAAAATCAGTCCTCAACAAACCAGAAAAAAAAAAAAATCATGGGGGTTAACATCTGTATTTTGGAAAATGGAAATATAAATTTTTAAGAAAAAGTTTAGCGTTTCAAAACATACGTATTTAAAGGTACATTTACTTTCCTATTCATAAAGATACAAAAAGTTAAAGCTGGGAGTGGTTGCTTATACCTGTAATCCCAGCACTCTGGAGCCTGAGACAGGAGGATTACCTCAAGTTTGAGGCTAGCCTAAACTACATAGTGAGACCCTTGTCGAAAAAAAAAAAAGAAAAAAAAAAAGATGTAAAATACTATTTTCATTTTACAGTTGTAAGGCTTTTAATAAATTTATACCAAGGACTGGTAAATGCAGCATACCTTGCTTTTTAGGAAAATTATTAGTACAACCCTGTAGAAAACAAATTATCTTTCTAAGTGTGTAAAACTTTGCCTACCACATAGCATATTTGTCCAAAGGAAATAAAGAAAAAGACAGCTTAGTAGTCCTTATGTTACTCTTTTTAGAAGTCACGTGTAGGTTGTTTCCTTCTTCTCTTGAACTATGGTTTGCTTGTCTTGATTATATGTATCCTTAAAACAGTGTTAACCAGCAATTGTGACAGCAAGAAAAACTCAGATACTCTTTTTGTGGAAATCTGTGAGCATTGGTATCCTTTTCTCTTTGCAGGAATAAACACATCATGATTGACTTGGGCACTGGCAACAACAACAAGATTAATTGGGCCATGGAAGATAAGCAAGAAATGGTTGACATAATAGAAACTGTATATCGTGGTGCCCGCAAAGGCCGGGGCCTGGTGGTGTCTCCCAAGGACTATTCTACAAAATACAGATACTGAGGTGCTCTCGTCACAGTCTGTACATATAAATGCTGTGGAGTCATTTTCATGAGGGAATAATTTCAACTGTGTAAAGCCTTTGCAAAATTACATGGATCTCAGGGACTGAAGGGTCCTTGAGTAAGGGTTGCACGCCTTAACTAATTGAAGCAAATAAACACACAGTGAAGGAATAGTCACAGTTGTTAAGAAATTGTATGGATGATAGATTTTGACAGTCAACATTATTTCCTTTACTTCTGGAGTAAAGGTGTTTGTCCTGTGTGGATGCTAAGTTTTGCATGCTTGGCTTAGTTCTCTGGTAATGAGATGAAAGGACCACAAACTAAATGACCTCAATGACAGAAATTTATGATTTCATAGTTCCAGAGGCAGGAAATCCAAAAAATTGTTGGTGGGGTTAATTCTGTCCAAGATCGTAGAGTAAAATCTATCCCTAAACTCTCCTGGGTTCTAGGGGTTGCTGGAGATTGCTGGAAGTCCATGGCTGTTTGTAGATGCTTCACCTCAGTCTCTGCCTCTGTCTGCACTGGTGGTTTCCTGGGTGCTGTGTGTGTCTCTGTGTCTATGTGTCTGTGTCTGTCTCCACATTTCCTCTTTTTATAAGGACACCTCTTACCAGGTGAGCGGTAGAGTGGTTAGAGCTTCCCTGTCACCTCTTGGTGCACATCTTTTCTCTGTTAGGATAGTGAATGCAGTGGGGTGCACAGTATCTCAGCACATTCAGAGCAGGCTTCAGAGCTGTTCGCCACCAGCTGACCCTGGGTAGTCACTTCATTGTTACTGTTTCTCACGTGAAAGGGGAGAGTTTCATCTACCTTGTGCACACGTTGATACACGGGCAGCACTGGGCCCCTCCTGCTAGACATCTGGTGGAGTGAAAGTGCTCACTGCTATTATAGTGGTCCATTGTTAAGATACAAGTGAACTTGCAAAAGAGTAAAATGTTTCTTACACATATGAGTGCATTTTAAATGGATTTAAAATTCATAGCAGCACCCAGCATACAGGAAGCCCTTTCAGTTCAATCCCCAGCCCTGAAAAAAAAGCAAATCTATAAACATTAATTTTGCCATTTATGAAATAGGTAGAATAAAGCCATATGACAGTGGAAGAGCCTGGTGACAAAAAAAAAAAATGTGCACCTCTTACATGCCTGACATTTCTGTGAAGAAGGGAAAACAGACAGGTGGAAAGCACATGCACAGATGCCCAGCATCACAGTTTATGCAGGAGATTTAGTCAGAACCATGCTAAGGCACCATGAGGATGCTAGATTCAGACCAGCAAGGACTGGTGAAGATGTGAAAAGACTGGCGATCTTATAAACTGCTAGCAGAGATCCAAAGTGATATGGCCACTGTGAAAGGCAAGTTGTCCTAAAATAAAATAAACATGGTGTTGCCACTCAATCTAGCCATACAATCCCTAGGTATCTACCCAAGAGACCTGAACAAAAGCCCACAGAGAAACCACAAAATGGTATTCACAGTAGCCCCAGTGTGGAAACCTAAACTTCTGTCAGTGGATGACTGGATAACAGAATGTGCTATGTCCATACAGTAAAATATTCTGTCCTTTAAAACATGAAGTGCTGATTTATACAACAATATGGACGAACCTGGAAAGTGCGACTGAGGCCAGGCACTGCATAGTGTGTGGTCCTGTGAATACAAAATATGCCCAACAGCCAAGCTCATGCAGTCTATTCATTGGTGGTAGCTTAATCCTGGGAGGGGTAGGAGTAATGGGAAGGGAATAGCAAATGGGGGCAGGGTTTCTTTTGAGGCGGATAAATGTCTGCTAAAATTGTGATGGTTGTGTAACATAGAACTGTTTTGTTTTGTTTTGTTCTGAGACAGAGTCTTGCTATGTAGTTCTGGCCTTCAGCTCACTATGCAGCCTAGGCTGGCTTTGAACTCGTAGTGATCCTCCTGCCTCAGCCTCCCAAGTGCTGGGATTACGGGTGTGTGGCACCATGCCCGGCTAAAATCACTTAGTTTTATACTTTGAGTGAATTGTGTCATATATGATTTACTTCTCTTGCTGATAGCAACTTTATTATTAAAAGAAAAATATTAGCAAAAAACTTATGTTCCATCTTTATGAGTTAATTATGTACTTACTGTATGTTGCATTTACATTAGTCTGCTTGGACTGTTGGCTTAAACAACAAAAATTTATTTTCTTTCTGGAATCTAGCCAGTTTGGCTGTAGGGCTGTGGTCTGGCTAGTAGAGGGCAGCCTTTCCTCTGTCCTCGTGCTCTTTCCTTGGTGTGCACACAGAGCAAGTGAGTGCCTGCTCTCACAAGGACCCTTTATTGGATCAGAACTCCAACTTTAGTACTTCATTTAACCTTAATTCCTCAGAGGCCCCACCTCCATATAAAGCAACACAGGTTAAGAAACTCGATGTGTAAATTTGGGGGGGATATAAACAGATACAGAAGTTGTAGTAAGTCCACTGACACTTGATTTTATGGTGCTAGGGATTGAACTGAGGTCCTCATGCATGCTAGGAAACTACCACTGAGCTAAATTTCCAGTTCTTATTTGTTTGAATTTATATTTATTTATGGTTGGTGTTAGGGATTGAAGCCAGGGGCTTGTACATTGTAGACAAGTGCTCTATCAATGCATCCCAGGCACCCCACCCCTCTTTTTGGGGGCGTAGGCTAGTCTTGAACTCACTCTGTAACCCTGGGTGGCCTTGAACTTGGCAGTAATTCTGCCTCAGCCTCCCAAGTGCTAAGTTTGCAGGCCTGCACAGCCCCACCTCACTCCCAGCCCTTTTAATTTTATATTTGGAGACAAAGTCTCATTAAAGTATCCAGGCTGGGCTTAAACTTGAGATCTTCTGGCAGTTTCCTGAGTAGCTGGGACTGTAGACATGTGTCACCGTGCTTGGCTTACACTTGATTTCACTTGCTATCTTTGGGTCAGGATTTAGCTCAGTGGTGCTGTCACCTACCTCACAAGTGCAAGGTCCCGAGTTTGATCCCTGGGACCAAAAAGGAAATCAGTTGCTATCTTTTTCCTGATGTTTTGTGACTTTGTATAGTTAAATTTATGACTTGACAATATGTTCGAAGTTTCTCTTATTATATGCACTATATGCCTGCCCTCGAGCTAAGTGCTTTGCTTTGCAAGCAGTTTTCACAGATCCTTCCAACCACCCTCCAAGCAGATTTCCCTTTCTCTGTCTCTTTTTTCTCATTGAATTTATTGGTACTTTTTAGGTATACAGTACAGTTACATTCATTATTGTGATCTTGTGCCTTTACATGACAGGTCTTGGTTCTCATTTTTTCCCCATACCCCTGCCCTTCCTTCACCCCCTCCTCCAGATTTCTCTTTTTTCTTCAATGAGGTCCACTTTGTTTCTCAGACTGGTCTCAGAACTCCTGGGCTCAAGTGATCCTCTAGCTATAACCCCTCAATTAGCTGGGACTGAGGTAGGTTCGGAGGTAGGATAGAAGAAATAAAGATAGGAGATAAGGAAATCTGTAGTTGTTCGTTTGTTTTAGAAAACTAATTTTAAAACTGTTCTTTTATTTTATTTTATTTTTTTTATTTTTGGTACCGGGCGTCGAATTTAGGTCCTTTTGCTCACACTTGCGAGGCAGTAGGTGGAACCACTGAACTAAATCCCCGGCCTACCTAAAACTGTCCTTAAAAGAAAACCCCCCCCAAAAAAATCCTGCAGCTTTGGGACAAAAAGTTACAATGCCTTATTTTCTCTTTTTTGGGAAACTCAGAAATTCCTGAGTCTTTTTGGTTGATTTGATGGTACTGGGAGACTTTATCTTTTTGTTTGTTTTTGGGTGGTTTTGTTTGTT